AGCCCCCACGGAGGCCACAGAGGCCACGGCTTGCATGGGACAGGACGGGACAGGACAGAATGGGACGCTGCCTGCCTCAGCGGACTCCTAAAAGCCCATGGCTCAGGACAGGAAGTAACTGAGACCCATTCTGGGCCTGCCATTGCCTAGGGAAGAAGCAGCATGACAGCCCGGGGGCAGGGGGGTGTCAGGCCACCCCTTGGCCACGTGGGTCAGGGCCTGGAGCTCCACAAATCACACACTAACCTTTGGTCACAAGTGATGACAAAGGCTGGGTCCACTCTCAGCGGCAGCTGGATGGCAAGTCCCAGATGGCACCTAACGGGCCCTCGGAGAAGGTCTTGCCAGGTCCTGGAGCAGATGCTCGAAGCGCAGAAATCATCACTTCTGCTATCAAGTCAGTCAGTTTTCTGGAAGGTCCCAGGCCCTTAGTGACTATAGTGGGTGGAACGGCCTCCTCCCGACATTCGTGTCTACCCAGATCTGTGAATGGGAGCTTGGAGGTCAGGTCTTTGCAGGTGGAATTAAGGTAAAATGAGCTCCTGCTGGGTCCTAATCCAATGACCGGTGTTCTTACAAGAAGAGAGAATTTGGACACGAACCCAGAGAAGACACAGAAGCGACGGCCACAGGAAGAAGAGACGGGAGTGATGCCGCTACAAGAGGAGTCACCTGCGACCACCGGAAGCCAGAAGCGCAGGGAAGGATTCTCCCCGGAGCCTCCGGAGAGCATGTGGCTCTGCGAACACCTTGATTTCAGGATTTCTGGGCTCCAGATTGGGGAGACAATAAATTCCTGTTGTTTAACGTCACCCAGTCGTGCTACTTTGTTACAGCCGACGGGAGGCTGGGCTCAGGTCACGAGCAGGGCTGTGCAGTGGTGTCAGAGGGGAGGCAAGACGGGAGAGAGGCTGCCCGGGAGGGGGTGCCTCCTTCAGCTGCGTCTGCTGTGTGGGCAGGAGCCCGAAGAACGGGACTGAAACTGGGGACTCCGCACGGCCCACGGCGGATTCAGCTTTGACGGCTGGTGTTTCTCTATCGCTGTGGCCTCTGCCGTGCCCGGGAAAGGCGCTCAGGAAATGTTCATGGCACCTCTCGCTGCCTGCGTGCCCCTAGTCCCAGGGTTGTGCCTCCCACCTGGTCCTGGCCTCCCTCTGTCTTGCCCCGGATCCAGGGAATGACTGGCCGGCCGGGCTGCCGGGCTGCGGGGAGCCAACTCAGCCACACTAAAAAGCCCATTTAGAGGCTGCTGCTATCTGCTGCGATGGCAGAGAAGCATCGGTGCCTCTGAGAGTCGTCCGCGGGGATTCCCGCTTACCCAGGCCATGCATTCAGCCCCCAGTCCCCGCTCCAGAAGCCGTGGTTTTATCCCGAGTGTGACTTAAGGAATGAAATCCCTCAGGTCTCACCTGTGGCCAGAGCCACGGAGGACCGGAGCCGAGGTCAGCCGGGAGAGGGGTCAGTACCGGCCCTCCAGGTTATGCTCCCCAAGTTGCTCCCTTCTCCACGGTGGACATAGCTCAGCACCTGGCAATCAGGGCTCAGTGCCCGGGCTGGACACCAGGCAGAGCTGAGCCCGCCCGCACCTTCTGACCACCCACCGACAGCCGGCCGCTTCCCATCAGCGTTTAGCTCATCCCGGGCCGGGGTCCCCGCGTGATGCGCTGGTGACCAGCCCACGGAAATTCCTCCAGCATGAACAGGACGTCACAGTCCTGCTGGCCCCTTCACAAGAGCCCAGGGAAGTCTCTTCACTCGGCACTGTGAGTGGTGGGGGGAGGGGATGTCACACAGCCCAGCTGGACCCAAACCTTCCATGCCCAGAGCCCAATGGCCAGTTTCTCCACGGCTCCTTCAGTCAGCAATCCCTGCTGTGAGGCCTCAGGGTGCTGACGGGGAACGGTCTGGAGTGATCAGGGTTTATACTGAATTGTTCCCTCCGAAACTTGACACTGAAAGGGCAGCCACTCAAAAAGGCTCTGAGGGTCGACCAGGCCTGCTTTGGGCAGCCATCAGAGCCCCAGCAGCACCGGCATCCAGGGCATGGCAGCCGCACAGCTTCTTTCCTCCCCAGGATATGCCCAGTCGGATGGTCGGGGAGCTGGATGACTGGGCATGACCGCCCACACCAGGCCTCCCCGGAGATTCCAGGGGTGGAGGCAAACCAAAGCCTGATGCTGGGTGTTTGATCTCTGCACAGAGTACCAGCGCCATGCCGGGGGGGGGGGCAGCGGGCACCGAGGCCAGAGCGCCCTGGAAAGTGGCTGGATGTCTGCTGTCTTGTCTGCATCCAGTGTGAGGACTCGAGCTCGTGGAGGAGAGGGGATGTTCCTGCCCGTTGCACGGACGTGAACACGGTTGCGCCAGAGCTCGGAAGGGCAGGCACTGCCTAGCGAACCCCACTGCACAGACCAGCTGGACGGGTGCTAGGATGGGGACTTCCCAGCAGAACTGGAGTTCCTGGCTTCCTGAGAGAACCATTCTGGGGCGGGAGGGGGACCCCCGCCACGGAGGGTGCATCCTGTCCACGGAGCTCATGGCGGCCTCAAAACAAAGGCTACTGCCCCTGAATTCCACCTCTCGGTTTTCTTCATGTGGTAAGCAGTAGGCGGCAGGATCCTGGTTGCAGGGCCCTTCTCAGAAGAGCCCAGCTGTTTGTCCTTGGGAGCTTGTCCTTGGGAGCCAAGACCCCAAGTGAAGCCTGGCTACGAGAGCCAAAGCCAAGCAGGGGGAGGAGGCTGGTGCTGGCCCACAGCCCACCCCGGCTTGGGGCCTCACTGGCTCCTGGGGACCCATTTCTAGTTCCCCAGGGGCTGTCAGTCTGCACAAACATGTGGCCAAGACCTCTGGGGTCCAGGCACAGAGCAGTGTCTCAGAATCTGTGCTCCGGCCAGGGGAAGTAGGCCAGGACAGGCGTGTGTTAAGGATGTACTTGACGTCAGAGCTTAAAGAGCCGAAGACCAGTCCAAGCCTAGGCCAGTCCCCACCGTGAAGAGATGCTAAGGGTTCTCTTTCCAGACTATTTCCAAGGGTCCTGGCTGGCCAGTTACTAATGCAGTGACCCCTGCGGAGCCTGGGCCTCTGGCCCCTCGGCCCCAGTTTGCATACACAGTGGAATCCTCCCTTTGGCCTCAACTCGCCCTGTGAGTAGCAGCCTGGGAGCCTGAGCAGAGCCGTGGCGGACCCCAGGGTCCTTCCAGGGCAGCACCCCCTGCCAAGCCTGCTGCCAGCAGGATGCTCCCCTGCCCTCCCCAGCGCTCCCCGCCAGACCAGGTGCAGAGAAACCACCATCAACAAATGCTGGAGTGGGTCACTGATGTGACCTTTATTGGATCACCGGGCGTCATCAATTCACCAGCAGGTCACAGACCCATGGAGGAGAACCAGCCGCAGCTCGAGTGCCACTATCGGGGGATGTGCCGGTCTTCACTCTGGTGTCTAGGCAGCACCAGGCCTCCAGGAAGGAGGCCGGCCTGCAGTGGGTGACCCCACCCCAGAACGGTAGGTTCCCTCCGCCACCCCTTCTGGGCACCTGCCGGCTGTGCCCTCCACCCGTGTCATAGCTGCTGAGTAGGGGCAGCGGGTGGGGAGCTGGCACAGGAGGGAAAGCAGAGAGACAGCCCTCCCCTCAGCGCTCCTTCTGAGGCCTTGCAGGGTGGGGGCACGAGGCCTGGCAGTGAAAGGGAAGTGGATGGCAGGCACGAGGAGCCCTGCAGCCGGCAGCTGGCAGCCGGTGCCCCAGGGACAACGACCTGGGAGCCTGGGGAAGGCAGAGGAGAAGGTATGCAGCCCTCAGACCTCATGACTGCCTACCTCCCTCCTGTCCCTCTGGCCCAGGCTGGGGGAAAGCAGCCTCCTCAGACCTGACAGCTTCCGCAGGTGCCAGGGTGCATTAGACACAGGACAGAGCAGAGGGAGTGCCCCACAGGGTCACAGGTCTGGACATGGGGCAGGAGCAGGGCACTAGAGACTGATGGTGGCAAACAACCAGCCTGGTCTGGAGCCTCCCTCAGGGCTGGCTGGTGGTCCCGATCAGGAAAGCATCTGGGGTCCCACCTCCAAACCCCCTTCTGGGGTCTCATTAAGCAGGAGAAGCCAAGGGACAACAGGGGTTGCATTTCATTAAAAACTGTGTCTCAAAACAAAAACTAGTTCTGAACATGAAGAATATATTTAAAAGATACTCTTTGCTCTATTAAACACCGTTCACTGAATTTCCTGAGCACTGCGCCATGCCAGCCCCCTGTGCAGGGGTGTGGGGGCAGGCGGCAAGTCTAAGGCACTGGCCCTGCTCTGGCACAGGGCTCCTTCTCCCCAGAGAGGTGGTCCCCACTGCCGAGAGGCTGGTGAACACGTCCAGATCTGGGGGACAGGGAAGGCCTGGCAGCACCCACCGCTGGACAAAGTGCTTGAAGCAGCAGCTAAGAGTATGATGCCTAAGCCCACCGCGAGTAGGAGGGACGCCCCAGCTGCGGGCCAGGCAGTGTTCTGGAGGGTGCCAGGACCACTCTGCTCAGAGCTGCAGAGTTGGACACTGGCCATGGCCAGAGGCCCACAGAGCCATGGTCTGGCCAGGCATTCCCTGGGGAAGGAGGGAGGGAGACCAGGGGCTTGTCAGGCCATCCACATCCAAAAGAGGCAGGCACTGGGCCTCATGTCTCCCTCGAGTTGGACACATGGGAAAGCACCCTGCTTAGCCCCTGGGGACCAGAGGCTGCTCAGGAACATGCCACCCAACCAGGCTCTCCCAGGCACCCACTCCGTATCTGTCCCCCGGGGACCCTCTTGGAGCCTGCAGGTCCCTAGGAGCCATACTGCCCAGGAACTCCACTCCTCCTCCCGGGCTGGCAGACCCTCGCTACCTTGCAGCAGGCATGGATGGACACAAAGTTTCCCTGCCCTGAGTAAGGCACCCTGGGGCCCCTGCGGCCTCAGCTTCATCCAAGGGGCTGAGCTCCTGGTTAGCAAGGACACACTCTCCCCTCCACACCCATGTAGCTGAGACAATCTGATCCCAGTTCCTGTGGGGACTCCTCTTTCTATGCCCTGCAGGGTTCTCTGACCCCACAGGCAAACAAAACAAAACAAAATACCAAGCTGGTACAGGGTCCTATGACCTGGGCGTCTACCCACTCCCCTGGGAGCAGAGGTCCTGGCCCCGTGGCGCACGGGGCCCCCCTCGGTGCACATCTCTTTGGGGAGAGGCTCTGCCAGCCCAGGGCCAGTCCAGGGGTGTGAGGGTCAGAAGAGGCTGGGGGCGGCCTGGCTGGGCGCATCGTGGTCCCGGATGTACTGGAGGATGTCCATTTCGTCCATGGCTTGAATCTGCTGCTGCTGCTTCCGCGGCTCCGCCACGGCCTCCGGCGGGCCCACTGAGGGGGGCACGGCTGGCTTTCGGGGAAGCGCTGGCTTAGCTGCCACTGGCGGCTTGGGCTTAGGCTGGGGCTTGGCTGTGGGTTCAGCTCCCAGGTTCAGAATCTGGTCCAAGTCCTCTTCAACTCTAGGGAACCAGAGGGGAAGCTCTGAATGTGACCTCCGCAGAGGGAGCAAGGCCCGGAGGCAAGGGCACCCCGCTCTGGGCAGGGCGACGGGCCCTGCCCCACCCGGCCTTTCCACAGGAGCTAGGGGACAGCCTCTGCCTTCCTTGCAGCCCCTCAGCGGCCTCTGCTTTTCAGGGGGTCCCTCGCTAGATGATGGCACTTTAGGGGACTTGTCCTTCAACCTCCCAAGAAGATTAACAGCAGCCAGACGCAGAGCTCCTGCTCTGTACGAAGCACTGAGGACACACACCATACCTTGGTCTACCCCAAACCCTCTGGGGGTACGGCGGAGCTCCACCCGCAGGTGGGACACTATAGCCTCAGGAGGCCGAGCTACCTGTGAGACGACCATGTGTGACGTTGCCTGGGTCCGGACCAGGGTGTCTGACTTCAGGAGCCGAGCCCTCGTCTGCACCAAGTTCAGCCCGAGAAAGACTCGATGAGGGGATCTGACCATGGTGGGGTAGGGCCAGCCATCCACGGTGCCCACTGTGGGCCCACTGAGGGCCGGGGCCACAGTCCTGGACCCAACAGCCCATCACTGGGTGGGACTCCAACCCATGGCAGTAGGACAGTCACACAGGACCTGCCCCAGGCACCAGGTACCCCAGAGGCCACAACCTGCCTCTTCCCTCTTTGCCTGAGCGAGCTTCTGTGGCCGGTTCCTGGAACCGGCAGCAGAGGAACTCAATTTGTGGAAACCAGATGCACAACGCAAGACCCTTTCAATCCATCCCAGCACCCAGCCACCCAATTCACACCCTGCTGAAAGCCCACCGAGGCCAGGCATTTCCATGTTCACTAATTCACTGAATGGTAACTAGACGCTGTCTGGGAGCAGGTCGTACTCTCATTTCACAGACAGAAGATTGAAAACTGAGGTACAAAGAGATAAAGGGCCTTGTCTGGGGCTCATGGCCAGCTTGTGAAGGAACAGGACTTGGCCTGGGGGTGCCTGGGTCTCTCAGGTGTGTATGCCTTCCTGGGGTACCAATGCAACGAAGCCCTTCAGATTGGAATTTCTCCAGGGTTGAGGGTCTCTCTTTCTGCTGAGGCCACAGGCCCCCTGAGGCCTTTCAGGTGACACCTGCTGGACCTGTTGCCTCTGAGGACCTAATCCAGACCCCCTGATCCAGACTCCTCCCCTGAGGGAGGAGCTTCTCTTGGGATTCTGTGAAAACCTCCACACACCTGCATCCTCAGAAAATTCTCTCTGGGTCAGGCTTTAGGACACCTACTGTCCACTCTTCTGTCCTTTGACAGATGGCAGTCCCATCTGGGACACAGTAATTGAAAGAACTGCAAAATAAGTGACCCCTGGCAGGTCCCTTCCCCTCCCTGGGCCTCAGTATCCCATCAGCGAGGAGCTAGATGAGATCACTTCAGGGATGCTCTAGCTTCCAGAAGATGCTAAGGAAAATGGCCTGACCAGGGTTTTCATGCTCTCAGGCACAAGGCGGACAGCATGCGTTCCTGACTTCACACTCTCAGGGGCGCAGCAACCCATCCTCTCCTCTGGGAGAAGCTGCATGCCGGCCAGTCTAGTCTGGAACCAGGAGACAGCAGGAGACCGGGGCTGGGGAACAGTGGGGAGTCTGGTAACACTATCCTTCACAGGGGGCCTTCACAGAGTCACACGGAAAACTCCCTTTGAAATCCAAGGGCCAATTTTTGAATTCCTAGAAGAGGATGCCTTTACATGCTTCCTAAACCAGCAACCAGCAGAGACATCTGGACCGGTGCTGCCCACACCTGGGCCAAGGTGTCTAAGGGTATCTCAGCAGGCCGTATCTGCCATGCTGGGGACAAGGGAGAGAGGGCTCAGGTGCTAGAGGCAGAAGACCCCGGAGTCCCCATCTGCGAGATGGGAACGCCCACATCATCCAGCAAGGCCTGCAGAGCCACTGTGGGCCCAGAAGCACAGCACATGGCACCTGGAACACGGCTCCATTTCCCTCCCGCTGTGCCTTCACCAGTGGCCTCAGTCCGCTTTGTCATGTTCCTTCCCTGGTCCTCAGTCTCCCCATGTCAATGGGGTCCAGCTCAGACATCAACCGGGCTAGGAAGCAGTCTGTTGGAGCGTGGTGTGCCCAGCACCATCCTCCCCTGGAGGGGCGGCCTGCCAAGTACCAGCTGCCAGAGAAGCTCTAGGTCACCCCCCTGCGGTGGGGCAGAGACCCCCAAAGGGAGGAGTCAGAGCATCTGAGGATGGCAGAGCTGTCCCTCCAGCCCAGCCCGAGAGGGCCCAGCCCAAGCCAGGCCTTCAGAGAGGTAGCTATCTTGGGTTTGAGGCAATCCCCGAAGTGTGACAAGACCGGCTGCTCCTGGCCACCTCAGCTCAGCTGTGGCCCGGCTCCCCGAGGCAGAGGCTCATCCCTGAGGCCCTGGGGCAGGTGCGGGCTCCACCTGCAGCCTCCACCCGGGCTGGAGCCCCGGGACAGCTCAGGGGGACTGAAATATCCTCCCACGGGGCCTTCGGGAAGCAGCAGCAGCTAAGAGCCCATGTCAGCAGCCCGGATTTATGCAGCTGGGGCAAACCCTGTTGGGAACGCATCAGCAGTTGCTGTCGTGGCAGGTGGGACCATCACGCTTGGGGTACACGTGGTGGCAGGGGCACCCCTTTCCATGAACTCTATTTCTACCCAGGCTCCCCGAGTCACGGCTGGGACTGGGTCTCACGAACGCAAGGCCCGGCTCCCACAGAGAGGCAGCACGGAGCTCTGAAGACCCCAGTCCCACTCGACCTCCCCAGGTTCTCACAGGGGACAGGCCCCGACCACTGGCATGGCTGCACAGCAGGGGGTTACTTAGCTTGTGAGACCCCCCACACCTGTGGGGCAGAGTGCTCTGGGGGGCTTCAGGCTCCTAATGGCCACAATGCCATGAACGGGTGGGTGACAGCACCAGCGAATGGATGAGGATTAGGAAGCTTTTCATCGTCAGGAACCCCGACTGCTGCCTGGATAGTCGTGGAGCCCCACAAAGAGTACGATGCGGCTCCTGCTCTCAGAACGTGAGTTCGTTCTCACCAGCTGTGTGGCAGAGTGAAGGCCGGACCGCGGACACCCATTCCCCAGTAATTCTCAGAGGGCTGTGGGGGACACCAAGAGGCGTGACAAAGAGAAAGGGCCCCCAGAGACCAATGGAAACATGCAACGCTATACGCTGTTTCCTACTTACGCCCAGAGTTGTGCTGAACACTGGTACTGCCCCAGCCGTCTGGCCACAGAACCCCTTGAAGGGACACCGGAGCCCTGAAGAACATGGGTCGGGAAGTGCTGGCGTCACAGACTCAGGAAAGACTGTGCCAAGAAAGGCCCCACAGAATGGCCTCCCTGGGACACACCGTGTCCTGGAGATGGCAGAGCCTCCCCGAGTAGGGCACACTCCACGGGGCCCTGACACCCTCCCCGGGACTGACTCTACTGCCTCAGTTTCTCCTCTCAAGGTATTGCCACCCCAGCTTCTCCCAGCCTGCTGGGGCGGTCAGGGGCGAGGACACAGATGACAGTGAACAGGTGCCAGGGGCCATGGGGAGATGTGAAGACAAGACGCATTTGCTGTGACTCGGGCACTGACAGGGCTAATAGCCCGAGGCTGCTAACGAGGGTGCAGAGGACAGCGTCTCAGCACCATGTTCCTGGAAAGACACAGCTCAGCCTCCTGTAAACCGCTGAGCACAGCCGTGTTCTAGGGGTGCAGGTGACACAGCAGAGACACACAGTACCAAGCATGCGGAGAGCACAGCCAGCACATGCGTAAGTGGCTGGCCCAGGGCAGGAGGCAGATCTCCAAGCCTCTCCTCCTCTAAGTGCTTCGAGGGTCCTGGAAGGTGCGGGGAGGACAGGACACAGACCAGGGGACTGGGTTCCAAGCCCAGCTCTGTCCGGGGGAAGCTCGCATCTAGGTGGGGGCCGCTGTGAGGATGAAATCAGGCCATGTGTAGGCTGTGGCACATGGACCATAGCCAGCACCCTGAAGCAGGAGCCCCCGTGCACACATTCCGTCCACCCACCTCTGTGCAACAGACCATGCCTCGCCCTCCCCTCTACAGCCTGACCCTGGGACCCTCCTGGGACCGGCCTCGGTCCAGCATACCTGCGGTTTTCTCCCCGGGGAGGGCTGTGTGCTACCAAGAACCCATTTTAATGGTTGTTCCTGAACGTATTTATGCCAGTTATACTTGCTCTTGTAATTATATAATTTAATTATTCTCCACGTAAATTATGAAAGCGTGAGTGTGGGAAGGCAAAGACTCGTATTCACGAAGTTCTTTCTGAAACTCGCAGAGCTACCCGGCCTGTGGCCCATCCCCACCCCTGCCCCAATCCCCGCCACTGCCTCCCAGTCAGCGCCCACCCACAGGCTCCTGCCTCTGATGGGCCAAGATGCCCTCTCTTGGTGGCCGAAGCCGGTGAGATGCTCCCACACGGGGACGGGTCCCCGGCTCTGCCCAGGCTGCTCTGAGGGCTGGCAGAGGAGTGCCCAAGGGACAGGTGGTACCTGAACAGCTCCACGTGGGACACGGTCCCTCCACTCTCACGGGCAGCAGACAGCAGCAAGGGGTCACCCAGAGGGACAGCACCGCCAAGGTCAGGGTCTTCGAACAACTTCAGGGCTGTGCGGAAGGCAGGGGCAGAGTGGTCAAAGGATGTCCTGGCCTGTCCTCAGCAGCTGGGGGCACAGGTGGGGACAGCCTCACCCAGCCTCCTAGCCCAGCCAGGAGACAGTGAGCAAGGGACAAGGCAGAGCAGAGAACTGGAGGAAGAGGCCCGGGTGGGGACAGGAAGAGGGCAAGGGACAGCACTCAAAGGTGATGCTGAAATTGCCAAGACATGTCCTCAGAGCTGTGAGGCCGGGACTGTCATTCTCATCAATGTGTTCTCGGGCTCGGCACAGAGCCTGGCCCTTCGTGGGTGGTCACTAAGTGCTGGGTTAATGGGGGACAGCGTTTGTCCATCCTGAACGAGGACCCGGGTGGGGTGACGAAAGGTCAGATCTCGGGACAAGTAGAGGAGTCCCAAGGCCGCTCGGCTCTCCTCTCTCCGACTCTGCCCAGGACCCTCCAGTGGGGTCTACTCAGGTCACACAGAATCTATCATAGAGTCACGGCACACCTGGGTAGTTGCATCTCCCTCCCAGACAGTGCCGACATCTGGCCACTGGAATGATAAAACTGCCACCCCCACTTCCCCAGGGTGATTAGAACAAACATATAGTCCTGGAAGGTTCCAGGCTATGGGGACACAAAGCGCATGACTAATCTCTCCGGCAGAAAATCTCCGTAAGCTGAGCGTGGACCACGTCGAAACAGGACAAGGGGAAGATCTCCACTGTGCTCACGTGTGGTGGGTCCAAGCCACTTGTAAGAGTCTGGCTGGGTCATGGAGCAGACACCCAGAGTAGAGGGAAGGCCTGGAGGCTCTACTTACGGTCCTGGAGGGGCACGTCCTCTGCCGGGCGCTGGGGGGAGAGCTTCGAGCTTGGGCTGAAGAGCCCCTCATCAGGGTCCACCTCCTCATCAAAAATGGTGAGTCGGGGTGAGGGTTTGGGCTTCACAGCCACTTCAGGGCGTTTCTTGGACTTCTTAGAGCTACGGAATCACAGACACAGCTCAGTTTTCACGAGAGCCCGGCCAGTGGGCGCAGATGGCCTGGTCAGAGCCACGCAGGGAAGGTGAGCTTGAACTTGGGTGAGGAAGGAACTTTCCAGTACCCTGAGGTGTAAGACCCTGCTATGGAAAGTGGCTGGGCCCTGTGCCCCAGGATGTATGGGAGGAGCAGGGGAATGTCGGCATGACCGAGATGACCGCCAGACAGCTCCCCGCCCTAACGGGCCAGCCAGGACTCAGGCCTGCCTGCCCGGGCACCGGGCAGAGCAGCTGCTCTCCTTCTGGAGGCTGCAGGAGCCAAGTGCCCCCAGCGTTCCCAGGGCCAGGCTCTTCAGAGCCACTTGGAAAAGGGGGGTGGATGCAGCCTGAGGCTGGGAACAGGTGGTACCCAGGGACAAGCGGAAAGCAGCCTTGAGAAGGGAAACCTCTGTCACTCCAAGAAATACTTCAGTCCCACCGAGTGAGCCCCACCTCCTTCAGGAAACCTCTTGGCTACTCAGAGCATCCCCCACTGGCTCTGTCTCCCTCACCAAGGTCCCTTGATGTCTCATTCACCCACTGGCCAAGGTCCTGCCTTGGACGAGATGTTGCTTTGGGAAACTGGGAGAGGGCATGAGGGAGATTCTGGGCCATGGGCCTGCTTTGTTTCCTGCCCTGGGTGGTGGTGATGCAGAGCACACAGAGCACACAGAAGCCTTTACGGACTTGGACCCTGCGGCTCTGCATACGTAAGTCACATTGCAGATAAATAAATAAACAAACTTGGTTTTATTTTAACACGGCGATCCAATCCCTGCTGTGGATACCAAAATTAGCCATTATAAGGTTCCTGCAAATAGTGAAAAGACGCTGTTTACTGGAAACAGAATTTCTGGGGTGCCTGTCTGCCTGGCGGGCAGTTCCACTAGACAGAGGTCACCGTCTGAGCTCCTGCTGGCAACACTGTGTGGGAAACCTGCGGCAGAAGCCGGCCCTGCCATCCTCGATGGCACAGACCAACCAGCGGCAGATGGACAAAGCGCCAGTGGCCCTGCAGGCTGGAGGGCAGGCTGCTCAGAGGAGCCCATTCCCACGGTCCGGCTGCAGACCTGCGGTAGAATCGGAGGCTCAGCTGAGATGGGAGAAGCTGTGGGAGCTGGAAATGCCCCTGCCGCGGGGTCACACCTCCAGGACGGAGCCCACCTATGCACTCAGGGCCGAGGCCTACTTACGGTCCTGCGCTCTTGTCCCCTTGTGGTGTCCCCGCAGCAGGGAGATCCAGGGTGGGGTGAGGACAATAGGCTCAGGCCTGCACATTTGGAGGATGAAATGGAGAGCAGAGTCTCAGGGCAGGGGTGGGCCAGGAGGTCCCACACGCCCCGACCCTGCTTCCTCCATCTTGGGCACAACCCAGACAGGCTCAGGTCACAGACCTCCTGGGCACACACCTCTGCTTTGGTGCCACCCCCAAGCCCTGCTTGTGAAGGTGCCGGGCCTTCTCCATCCTCATAGCAAGTGCTTTCCGGAACCTTCAGCCATGCCACCTCACACACCCTGAAGGGCCAAGGTGGACTGCCCTGACAGGGACACCTGCTCTTTGTTTCTCGGATCAGGGTAAGCCGGTTTGCCTTCCTGACCCCTGGGACGTGGGTGCCAGAGGCAGGCCAGATGGAGATGGCTCCAGCCGAGAGCTACTGAGTCAGAGCCCCAGGGCCGGCCCAGGAAGCCGCGCTGGAGTCTCCGAGGAATCTGATGCAGCTACTGGCCCAGCCTGAGGCCTGTGGGCTCGGCCCCACTGCTGGCCTCCGTCACCCAACAGACAGCCCTCACCTGAAGCCCTGGAGCGTGGGGGCCAGAGGCTTCCCACGGACAGAAATCAGAGGAGCCGTGGAAAGATGGGAGCGGTTTTGAGAACAAAGGAAGGGAGAGGACAAGCATGATGAATTCTGTCTTCAGAGAGATCTGTGACTTCCCGTCTTACACCTACTTCTGGTTCTGAGAACACAAGTTTGGCCTGACTTTCCTTCTATGTGAATTTTCCTCCCAAATGGGATGAATGATCTTGTTTTTCTCCGCGGAGGCACTTCTGATCTTTCATGGTCTTGAAATGACATAAAGCCAATCTGTGGCACGTGGGGGCGTCCAGTCAATCGAGCACCGTCCGTACCCCCCCCCCACCCCCGACCGGGCTATCCTCCATCTCCCCAGCCCTCCCTGAGCGTTCCCAGGGGAGGCAGAGAACAGGCAGGAAATAGGGAGCACTGACCGCTCAAAGCCCCAGGGTCCTGCTCTGGTTGGCCCCCGAACTCGAGTCTCTGGGACACACCCACGTGCCTGGTTCAGAGAAGACGCTCCACAGATACTGGGTCAAAGAGGAGGACTGATGGATGGAAGGACAGATGGAAGGAAGGAAGGAAAGAGGGGAAAGGGAAGAACAGACACGTGAACAGAGAGATGGACACAGGGGACAGTACGTCTCTTATCCAGACTCATTCCTGCTCCCCAGGAATAGCGGAGAGGGGGTGCAGATGGGGTTCCCAGCACCAGTCTGAGACAGAGACGGTACCTGGAAGGCTTCGCTCCTCCGAAGCTGGCGGTCACGACAGCTGGTCTCCTCACCCACCCTCAGCCACTCTGTAAGCAGCTGGCGTTCACCCCGGATGCCCTCTGGGACCCAGCACTCACGCACGCGCACCTCCCGGGCTGAGAGTGAGACCTGCCACTGCCCCAGAAGCTCACAGCTGACTCAGAGGCCCATAAACCCACCAAGACCGCACAGGGCAAGAGTCCTGGAATGTGCGGAGCACAGGGCAAGGATCCAACCCAGCCCTAGGGGCTTTCTGGACGAGGCCAAGTGAAACAGACACGGACTCAGGCAGGGGAAGTGAGCCCCTCATCCGTGGGGTCTGCCAGAGGCACGGCTCAGGCACGATCAGGAACCGGGTCCCCAGGGCAGCATGGCTTGTGGTCCACGGAGAAATGATCAGGGCCTGGCCTGGGGGAGCACTGCAGTATGATGCGGAAATGGATCGGGGGACATCAGAAGGCCAAGAGCTCCTAGAACACGTGGACGGTGAGGTGATTAGTGAGCAGAGGGGCGAGTCTAGAAGGATGCCAGACCTCAGGCCTCAGGGTGAGGTCGCGCACGGCCTACGTGAGGTGAGTCTCTAAGCCCCTGTCTTCCCCTCATCCACAGACTGTGTGAGCACAGACTCGGGCTGCATACACAGGCTATGGCCCTGACCTGTCCCTTACCCGCCCCGGTCCCTGCTCTGCACCTGCCCCCACAGTGTCCACCCGGCTCTCTGTAGCATTCACCGCCCGACTCAGCTGTGCCCGTCTGTCACCCGCCATGCCTGTCTGCCACCCACCCTCTGTGCCACTGCAATATAGGGTGCCTCTCCTTTCTTCACCGAAGGGAGGCCAATAGGATTAGACTCTTGTCACCAGGGCTGGGGCAGCGGGGCATGGAACAGAGAAGTGTGCGATGGACAGACCTCCTGGAGAGAAGGCAGGAGGTCACCTGAACTTGGGCAGGCTCTGGCACAGGGGGCATGAGGTGGGGCGGTGTGGGGGAGGGCCTCCCTGGACGGGTGCAAGTCTGTGGAAGCAAGTCTCTGTAGCAGGCAGGTTTGTGCACGGACAGACACCAGCTCTTCTGCCTCGTGCGTCTGCCGGCATGGGCCATGTGGCGCAGGCAGGGGAGGAGCAAACACAGGGAGGCGGCAGGTGCCCAGGCTGACAGCACCGACAGTCAGTCACAGCCCTGCTCATGGGGCTCAGGCAGCTGTGGTGACAGTGATGGACACATGACAGCAGCCTCCCCTCCGGCCACCCAGGGGGCCTGTGCCCATGTTTCCAGGTGCACCTGTGCCCCTGGCCGACCACCGAGAGCCACCAGCTGCCCAGGACCTGCATCACTGAGTTGTGGGAGCACCTCCTGGACCCAAGAGAAGGCAGTGGGTCCTTCTGATGCCCAGACTCACAGACAGCACGACATACCCTCCAAGCCGGAGTGGTGCGTAACCAAAGACAGAGAGCAATCTCCTTTCTAATCGTACCACGTTCCTGTTTTCCAATGAAGCATTTTTCATTTTCGGATTTTAAATTCAGTTTCTCTTCCTTCGAGGGAAACTCGCAGAGTGCCCATGAATGAACTTCCGTGACCTGTATTCCGGGACAATGTCATCTGCACCAGCACCAGGCTTTGGGGCCTCCACGATGACCCAGTCATCACTGTGGCGTGGGTCACGGGGGACAGGCAGTCATCCCTGAGCCGTGCCTGCCTCCCCGGATGGGAGCTTCGGGGAAGCGCTGGACGGGGGCTCAGCAGAGTCGGGAAAGCAGTGGTCCAGGCAGAGAGGCTTGTGCAAATGCCAAGGCAGGAAGTGCGTGGTGTAGGTGCAGTGGCCACGAGCCGGGCAGCAGGCACACGGGGGAGGGGAGTCTGAGGGGAAGTCGGGGCCAGAGCCCACAAGGCCTGGGGGAGAGTCTGGCCTCCCTATTCCTGGGGAGCAGCCCTGGAGGGGGATGCAGGGAATCCACGTTATGACCTCGGGTCAGTCCTTTCACTTCTCGGGGCCTGTTCCCTTAGCCGTTACATGGGAGTAGGGAATGCTCTGGAAGCGGAAGCCTGCATGCAGGGCGGCGCAGGGCACAGCAGGAGCCTGATACCAACTAGGTTCACATCAAGCTCCTGCCCCACGACTGTATTCTGTGCTCTGACAAATACACAAGGCCTGCCTGGTAAAGACCCATCATTTTTTGAAGCCCAGGGTCACACTCAAGGATCTTTCTCAACAGCCAGAGCCGGACTCCCCAGGCCACTGAACCCCACCTGAGGGCTCACTGATCAGCCCCCCCAGGACTCCCCTGCCTTTGCACCTCGTGCGAGCTGACGTTTCTTCCCCTGCCTCTCACCCAGCACGGTGCCCTGCACCACCACCGAACCAGGCCCGTCTGGCTGCAGGGGCCCTGTCGCCCCCAACCCCAACTGCTGGGAA